AGGCGTTGGTGGCACACACCTTTAATCCCAGCATGCCTTTAATCCCAGTACTCGAGAGGCACAGGCAGGCAGATCTCTTAAGTTCAAGGCCAGCCTGGTCTACAGAGCGAGTTCCAGGACAGCCTCCAAACAATACAGAGAAACCCTGTCTTGAAAAAAAATGGGTGAATCAAAAAAATTGGTAACAGTAAAGAGGTACTGGTATTAAGTAAAGAAAAAGACAAAGGTATAAGGAATGGAAAAAGGTTGTTTGCATTTAAGGTCAATTTTGTGAGTCATCTCTAAAAACTTTTGGCCAAAAGCCTGGCCTTTCCACCTTGCATCTACAGAGTTACAAGGAGTAGGTACGGCTGTACCCCATGACTGTAGCTCAAATGGAGGAATGATGAGGGGCATACAGGACTTTTTAACCTTTTTAGTTCAAGGATTGGCTGGAGTTGTTCTTTTACATAGATTTCAATTAAGGAAGTTTCATTTCAACAGACTAATCATGACCTAGGGAAAAAGGATGACTGAAAGATGCATGTATGTTCTGAATGTATGGTGTGGCCACACCGGTATATATGAAATGTGATTGTGAATTCGTGAGTGTGAACTGCTTATAAGATTAAAAGGATACTTAAATCCCTTCAAAAATAGTTTAAAAGCTACCTAAATTGCTTTAGATATAGCCAAAAGGAACATCCAGTCAGTCAGTTAATGTCTTAACAGAAAAGTTAAGATGCAAATGAGGCCTTGTCAGCTAGTGAGAGCTCTACGGGTTAGATTGGGAAAGACTGCTCACAGACTTCAAATAATTTTCAAAACTTATTTGGGACACAGTATAGTTTACAATCTTTGAGTGATTTTCAGAAGTTTTTGGGAAATACTTAATGGATATGCCCTTTTTAAAGAGCATCTACTAATAATCTAGATAGTGATCCCAATTCACCTAGATAGTTAATTAAGGAGGGTAGACAAATCCTTCTACTGTTATGGTCCAGCTTCAACAGTTCAAACAAAATTTAGAAAATAAAAAAGGGGGAGTAATGTCCCCAGTCCCCACATGACTCATCAAATAATACACTCCTCATTTAAAAAAATTTTTAATGTGAATACCAGTGAGCAATCTGCGTCAGACAGATTCTGGCATGATGGAACTTGAGCAACTATTGCTCAGGTCAAATGGAAACATCCATGCACTAGACAGTGGAGACGACCCTATTTGGGGTCAAGGGCATGTTTGTGTTTTCTTGCAGGAAAAGAATAAAGCTTCGGCAGCTGTCAGACCATTTGGTGAGATGCATGGAGCAGAGAAAAACTGGACCTGAGACCATGGGAGCCTACCTAAGCCAGTTTAAGTGAGATCTCCTAAATCAGTGTTCCTGACCCTTGATGTCATCGAATCTACAGCCCAAGAAAGAAAGAAAACAGTCGGTTCAAGATTTCCAGTTTCTCAACAGGCCTGCTGCATCAACCTCCTGGACCCGTGAGTTTTCATCCCGAAGCCAACAGAGAACTGGAAAGATTACCTGTCTGCCCTTGACACACCTTGAAACAACAGGATTCATTTTGCCAGTTTTTCCCTTTGGGAAAAAAAGGACCCATTTAAAACATTTGGACATTGGTATAGACTGTGATAAGTGGCAAAAGCCCCTTTTCAGTATTTGAACAGGACATGGTCACTTGAAATATCAACCTTGGTGGTTCCTGTTTCTGGAATCGTGCCTATGCAGTGTATTTTTCTGGAGAAATGCAATTTGTTCTAATGCGACAAAAAGGAGACTTTGGCTCAAGTTGCATATTCAGATGAGGCTACTGACGTTAAATCAACAAACTGCATCACCACAGGAACAAATTGGTGCTCTGTGGATAGTGCAATAAGCTTTTTTTTTTATTTTCCAGTTTAAATTTAGATAAGAAACAAGGTTGCTTCACAAGTCAGTTCCAGGTCCCTCTCCCATTCCCTCCCCTCTTCCCGTGCCCTCCCCCCAGCCCCCCCCCCCGCAATAAGCTTCTTGTTCATATTTTTTTATAATGCTACATGTGTAACATCAATGATTGTACCTAATGTATCTGTGCAAATGCACTTTCTAAATGCTTTCCTGAATAGATCTTGGAACGATTGTAAACTTTATCAAATTGTAAATGTAAATCACATACAGGTTACCTTTGTAACAGAAGAAGGCTGGTAGAATGTTATGGCCCATATCTGGTGATGGGTATGGTGATGGAGAGGCGCTATGTCAATGGGGGTCCTGGAAATGGTGGCAGTGGCAGTAGGCATTCTGGCTTTATGCCGAGCTCAAACGTGCCTTGCTCCAGAGGCAAGAGATCTGTAACCAAGTATTGCTCAGCTTAGCCCATGGCAATCCCGGTAGCCATGAAGTCTGGTTACAGATGATTTAAGAATGAGGTTATTCCGTTGACGGGCAACCTGTGGGGAAGAGACCTCCCACCTAAGACAGGGGTCACAAGGTCCCCCAAAGACGGGCCAGGGAGGGTGACCCTACTTGACCTAAGCCAGGAGTGCCTCATTAGAAAATAAAAAAGGGGGAACTGTGGGGACACCAGACCTTGGGCAGAGACCCACTTCCCCTTCTGCCTGGGACCAGGCAGCTGTAAGACAATGTTTACTAAAAACATGTTTACTAAAAACAATACAGTGCCAGGGCAATAAGTTCCTGAAAAGGGCTTGCCCACGGGAACCGCCCTGACCTCGACCTTTTCCAAAGACTAACCGCCTCTTCAGACCCACCCACCTCCACCTCTGGTGCCAGGGTATACAATAACCAGCCAGAGTAGGAATGAAAGAGAGCCTTCTTGAGGAGCCTTCGGGTCTCTGTGTCGTCAATCCCCGGCACCCTCCGCACATTCTCCGACACAGGCTGCGCAGCGGGTATGGCAGCTATCTTAGGATGTCTACCACTGGGATGAAACACCATGAAGAAAGCAAACTGGGGAGGAAAAGTTTATGTCACTAGCACTTCCAGATCATTAAAAACAGTTAGGGCGGGGTCTGGAGGAAGGAGCTGATGCAGAATCTATGGAGGAGGGCTGGCTTGCTCCTTGTGACTTGCTCAGCCGGCTTTCTCGTAGAACCTAGAACCACCATCACAGGAGTAGAACACCCACAGTGGGCTAGACCCTCCCCTGTTAATTACTAACTAAGAAAACGCCCTACAGCCTATCACATGGAGGCATTTTCTCAGTTGCGATGTCCTCCTCTCAGATGACTATAGCTTGAGTCAAGTTGATAAAAATAGCCAGCGCATGTGCTAATTTTGACCTCACTCTCCTTCCATACTAAAGCACAGCTCTCCAAGGCTGAGTTTTATTTATTGCATGATAAAAAGTGGAATCTTTTATCCTAGAAATCCTAGGAAGTGTCAGAGGCCAACAACAGCATTCTTAGGGATGCCTGTGGAAAGGGATAACTGTTGGAAGGAGAAAAAATACTCTAAAGAGAGACATTTGAGCCCTCCCTTTGTCTGATAGACTATTGAAATGGTGCTATATCCACACACAATGAAGTCACAACTATAAAGTAGATGAAAGTGACCTTGATCAAAAGCTTAAGCCCTACCATGAGCTCATTCTATACGATGTTATAGAAGAGGCTATGGTACTCTTACATTGATAGAAATCAGAATGATAGAAACCAGAATTTACAAAAAAAGTCTTAAATGTTTAGATTTGTATATAGTTAAAATCTGTGAACTTCACAGGTGGTAATTTTTTTCTAAAAAAATAAAGATTTATTTAGTTTTTTATGCATATGAGTCTTTATCAGCATTTATTTCTGTGTACAATACATGTGCCGTGCCCAAGAAGGCCAGAAGAGGGCATTATGTCACCTGGAATGGACTTACAGTTGTGTGGATATAGGGACCGGAACCCAGGTCCTTTGCTGGAGCAGCAAGTGCTTTTAACTGCTGAGCCATCTCTCCAGCCCATGTTGGTATTCTTTTGGGGGGGGGGGGCAAGACAAGGTTTCACTGCAGCTTCGGAACTTGCTCTGTAGACCAGGTTGGCCCAAATTCAGAAATTCACCTGCCTCTGCCTCCTAAATGCATGCACCATTACAGCTCAGCCATGGTATTTTTCTTTTAATGAGAAAAATATTCAAATGATCTCAAAAATGTGTAAGTAACAAAACTCACACATCACTTCTTTTTTTAAAAAAGAGTTGAGGCCGTCGTTGGTGTCGCATGCCTTTAATCCCAGCACTCGGGAGGCAGAGGCAGGCAGATCTCTGTGAGTTTGAAGCCAGCCTGGACTACAGAGCTAGTTCCAGGACAGCCTCCAAAACAATACAGAGAAACCCCGTCTCCAAAAACCAAAATAAAATTAAAAAATTTAAAAGTTGGTTGCTAACACATACACAGCACCATTTTAAGAATTTTGTGTATATTAAATTCATTTAATTTCACAGTAACTCTCTGAGGGGAACTCCTAATATTCATGTTTATTAAAACGAAGAACAAACTGAAGCTGAGAAAGTAATACCAAGATCACATAGCTGGTCAGCAGCAGAGTCAGAGTCTCAACCCAGGCTGTCTCCAAAGCTTTGCTAAATTACACGCTGCTCCCAAACAAAAATAGAACACCAAGGCCACACTTTTCCCCTTATCCATGGGGGACTTCTAACTTGTGACCTCAACGGCTCTTACAAGCTATGAAGGTGCTTGATATGAGCTAATAACTCCCAGGAACAGTTTGGGTCAAGATTGCTATCAATGTGACCCTCCTTGTAGGAACTTCATATGAAGGCTGTGCTCAGAGACTCTCTGAACCTCCCATACGCCCAAATAACAAAGATACCCAAGCACTTTTCTGAGCTCCTGGGAAAATACTACCAGAACAGAAAGACCTTGATAGTTTTCGGTTCTTCTCTCACAGAGCTTCAGAGGGTGACTAGGGTGGTTTTGTGTTTTGTGGGCCTGTGTGTCATAACTAGGGCCTTGCAAATACGAACAGTGTTACTTTTATTCATTGCTGCAACAGAATATCCAAATCAGTTTAAAGATGGAAGGCTTTATTTTGGCTCATAGTTTGAGGGTACAGTTCATGGTGATGATGGAAATTTAACTAACTCAAGCTAGAAACTCTCACAGGCATGCCCATATTCTTGTCTCCTAGGGATTGCCCATCCAAGTTGGTGATCAAGATTGAGTACCACAACCGCTGACTTTATCCCCAGCATTAACAGAGTCTCTTGTCCTCTGTGGACAGGTAGCCTGACAGGAGCATAGAAACACAAGAGATGAAGATGAAAGACAGAACACACGAAATAAAAAGCAAAAAGTCCCTAGTGTGTGCGAAGGAGATAGGGACCAGAATATTTTCACAGCACCAATTAGATCCCAGATTATTCTCTACTTGCAAAGAGGAAATCAATATTTATAATACGGAAGCAGGACAGCCTCCGTTGTAGGGTACTTGATCACATTGTGGACCCCACGTTTGCATTTGCTTAAATAAAATCAACCTTGGGTCAGGACACAGAGCCAGCAACTAGCTGACAGAAAGTAATCATAGAGAGTCAGAGGAAGTCTGGAAGACAGAGAGGCGCACGGGAAGTAGTAGGGAGGGGCTTTGAGTGTGGGCAGTCCATTTTGGTTCGGCTGAGTAGAAAGAGACGCTCTTTCCAAGTCATCTGCAAAGAGAAAGGTCACCTCATTGCTCCTCAACCTCTCTGAGCTATCAGGTTTCTAACCTCAGCCTAAGTCTTATTGATAAATGAAATGATAGAGATTTAGTTAAAAAGCTACATTTGGTAGCAGTGGCAGGAGGCAGGTCTTTGGGAACAAAAAGTCTGGCTGGCTGCTGCCTGAGAATTGGGGTAGAACTATGGAGCAACAATTACTGATGGAAACAGTAGATGCAGGTACAGCCACTGTGCCAATGGAAGAAAAAAAGAACATGAAGCCATCAAATTAATTCTTCCAGCTTGGCCAGAAAGATAGTGGGACAGCCTGATATGATGCTGTGGTGGCTATTCTTGAACTACAATCCAGAAATGGATGACACATACCTTTAATCCATACCTTGAGGCTGGAAGGCATTCCTTTAATCCTGGCCACACCTTCTGTTGGAACGACAACGGAAGAAGAAAGGGGTGTGTTCATTCTTCACTGCTGGCCTTCGCTTTGTCAGCATGTCCATTCCTTCACTGGCATTGGCGCCTACTTCTTCCAGATCCCAGCACATGCTGAAGACCAGCTGAGCAACTCTGGAATCTAAGACATTTTACTCACAACTAGCCACTGCTGAACTACAGCCTATCAGTCATTCCAATAAATTCACACAGGCACACACACACACACACACACACACACACACACACACACACACACACACACACACAGATTCTATAAATTCTGTGACTCGGCCGGGCGGTGGTGGCCCATGCCTTTAATCCCAGCACTCGGGAGGCAGAGGCAGGCGGATCTCTGTGAGTTCGAGACCAGCCTGGACTACCAAGCGAGTTCCAGGACAGCCTCCAAAGCCACAGAGAAACCCTGCCTCGAAAAACCAAAAAAAAAAAAAAAAAGTCACCTTAGATTACTGTCAAAATGCTACAATTGAATATCCTAAGAGTTAGAGCAGTTGTTCCCAACCTCCCTAAAGCTGTGACCCTTTAATACAGCCCCTCATGTTGCGGTGACCCCAACCGTAAAATTATTTTTGTTGCTGCTTCATAACTGTCATTTTGCTACTGTTATGCATCATATTGTAAATAAACTACCCAGTGTCATACTCTCAAGGGTTTGAACCAACACTAGCTACTGAGTCATGCTGAACCAGATTTCCTGCTTGCCTCACAAAAATCAACACTTTGCTGGCCCTGGGGTTTGTAGCACACCCTCTGTCTTAGGGTTTTCATTGCTGTAAAAACAACCACAGCAACTCTTTTTTTTTTTTTTCGAGACAGGGTTTCTCTGTGGCTTTGGAGCCTGTCCTGGAACTCGCTCTGTAGACCAGGCTGGCCTCGAACTCACAGAGATCTGCCTGCCTCTGCCTCCCGAGTGCTGGGATTAAAGGCGTGCGCCACCACCGCCCGGCTCACAGCAACTCTTATAAGGAAAACAGTTAATGGGGTGGAGGGGGACTTGCTTACAGTTTCAGAGGTTCAGACGATGATCATCACTGTTGTAATATGAAAAGTGGGGCACGGGAGAAAGATGCCTTGTGACAGAGCTCGTGTGGAGGGTTTCTGGTTTGTTTTTGTTTTAATTAGGGGAAAGGGAATGGTAAAGGAGGGGAGAGGGGGGGAGACCTGCTTCTGGGGAAGGAGCAGCTGAAGAGAAAAGAGAAGTGGGGTGGGAGATAGAGAGGTGGGCAGAGAGGGAGAGAGCGGGAGGGGTGGGGGGAGGGGGAGAAGAGAGAGACACAGAGAGAGAGAGAGAAGGATGGGAGGTGGGCAGGGCCCTTTTAAAAGGGAACGTAGTGAATGTGCACAGGTGGTGCTCTTAGTGACTGCAGCTGAGGGCGTGTCCTGTCAGAACCCCAAGGGCAGGGCAGGACAGATGCCTGAACATGAGCAGTCATCATATCATGGCAGGGAGCATGGTGGCATGCAGTCAGGCCTGGTGCTGTCTACATCTTGGCTTGCATGCAACAGGAAGTCAACTCACTCACTAGGTGGTGTCCTGAGCATAGGAAACCTCAAAGCCTGCCCCATAGTGGCACACTCCCCCCCAACAATGCCCCTCCTCATGAGATTATGGGCACCTAATGCAAAATGCATTTAGTCCAACGTCAAAAGTTCCCATAGTCTATCACAGTCTCAACAATGTTTAAAAGTCCAAGGTTCAAAGTCTCTTCCGAGGTTTGTACACTCTTTTAATTGTAATTCCCTATAATATAAAAATAAAAAGCAAATCACATACTTCCAACATATAATGGCATGGGATATGCGTTACCAATCCAAAACATAGGGAAGGGGGCATAGTGAGGAAACACTGGACCAAAGCAAGACTGAAAACCAGATGGGCAAACTCCAAACTCTGCACCTCCAAGTCTGATGTTGAAACGCTCTTCAGATCTCCAACTCCGTTCAACTTTGTTGACGTCAACACATTTCTTTCCCTCGAGCTAGGCCCACCCCCCTGTTACCAGCTCTCCTAGGCAGGTATCCCGTGGCTCTGGCATCTCTAATATGTTGGGGTCTCCAAGGCAACCCATGATTCATCTTCACAGCTTCATACGATGACCTCTCTAGGCCTCCAATCAGGGACACCCCTCACACATGTCTGGCCTCAGCAGCTTTCCTTAACCATGGGGGCAAATTCCATAGCCTGCTCCTTCTATCCTTACCTCTAACCCGGAACCACGTGGCCAAAGCTGCCAGGCTCTGCTGCTTACTGGGGCGAGAACATGGTCCCCTCATTCAATTACATCTTCACCAGCTTTCTGTTCTTCACTGCCTAGCCTTGGCTGTCATGAAACTCGCTCTGTAGACCAGGCTGGCCTCAAACTCAGACATCTGCCAGCCTCTGCCTTCCCAGTGCTGGGATTAAAGGTGTGCCCCACCACACCTGACTCTAAACTTTTCTTCAGTTCCTTTTCACAAGTTGGAAACAGCTGGTTGGGATCTTGTCCTGAGGTTACCACTGCCTTTATTCCATTTCTTAATCTGTTTTTCTCCTTGACCACAGAATTTAGGTCCATTCCACTTCCTGGTGCTCTTTTCCTCCTCAAAGTTTTCATTTTGTGGTTTACCCTGTTCAGCTTGCACCTTTTTTGTTTTGTTTTGTTTTTTGTTTTTTGAGACAGGATCTCTCTGTATTGTTTTGGAGGCTGTCCTGGCACTCACTCTATAGACAAGGCTGGCCTTAAACTCACAGAGATCCACCTGCCTCTGCCTCCCGAGTGCTGGGATTAAAGGCGTGTGCCACCAACGCCCGGCACAGCTTGCACCTTTTCGTTATAAATCTTCATTAGAGTTTCCACTAAAAACCACACAACAGAGTCTGTACTAGGATGTTTTGAGAGCTCCTCTGCCAATGGAATTAATCTAAAGGCCTTCACTTTAACCTCAGGCAGACCCCGAACAAGGGCAAAGGGGAACCACTTTCTTCAAAATATCACAAGAACAATCTCTAGGCAGCATACTAAAGTTCTCCTCTGAAACCTGTGAGTACCTCACAGTTCATCAGATCACACTCAGCACCACTGTCTCCCATGCTCCTACTAGTATGGCCCATTAGGCAACACTTAAAATGTTCAACAGTTTTTCTTTTCCTTTTTATTTATACTGTGCTGTAGCGAATGGTTCGGTTACGATGCTTTGGGGCTACAACACCTCACATGATCCGGGCGAAGGGCTAAGGATGTAAATGAGGACAAAGACAGCGGCTCATTCTTGCCAGGAGAATGGTGTTTATTGTAACAAGAGCAGAGCGTTAAATGCCAGTGGCAGGCGTGGTGGAAAACTACCAAGGTCGACCAAGGTCAGGAGCTCAGGTACCCAGGGCCCTCCAGCAAAGGAGAGGGGGACAACAGGAACTTGAATTTAGACAATAAGGATGGGCAGAAAACAGGGACTTGCATTCAGACTGTACTGGGAGGAGAGGGCAAGAGGCGTTTTTGCTAGAAGCTCCCAGTGACAAGCTGGTGAGCAGACCCCATGGGGGAGGGGTGCAACAGTGTGTCTTTCACAGCATTCATCCTGATGCCATTCATTTCCCTGTCCCTCACATCTGCCCTCTGCCCTGCAAACCCTCCCCCCCAATAAAACGAACCAAAAAAAGGAAAACATTTTAAATCTCATCATGGAAACCGCAGTGTGACACAGGGAGTCATGCAGTAAATGTCCATTTATCTTTATTTGCAAGTGTCCATTGCAGAGTCACTGGGCTGGTTCGAGGTCTCTGGTTTCTGCTGCTACACTCCCTATGGGGGTCAATTACAATTCAAAGTACCACACCCTCATAGAAGGAGTGGGTAGGGAGGATCATGTGACCCTTACCTGAGTATCCACTCACCCCTCTCGACCAATTATATTCAGTGCTGCTGTAATTTACACCAGGGCTCTGGGGAGACAAAGGCAACAAGTATTCACAGCCATGGAGAAGCCATCGTCCTTGCTGGGTGCAGACCTTCCAATATAGTTACTTTAGGCTTACCCAAGCTCCAGCCTGTAGCCCTGTAAGCAACCCTAATAAAGCTGTTTTGTTGTCGGGATTCCAGGAGGGAGGTAAGGTAACCCTTGTAAGCATTTCAACAGCGGGATGGGATTGGACAGAGATGGATTATAGCAGTCGGGAGTCACATAATACTGAGTGTTACAGCTCGGATGGAAAGGTATTCTGGCACTCGGGAGCCAAGGACCACCACAGGTCACAGTAAGCAGAGCCTCTCATAGCCCTGCTTTCAGAGAAAAGCTTCCCCAGTGTATCAGCTCTGCTCCAGCAGGAGAGGGTTTCCCCAGCAAAAAGTGTTACAGCCCTGCTCTGCTCAGCTCAGCTCAGCTCTGCTCTGCCCTGCCCAGGGTTATCTCTTCTCCGGCAAAACAAGGTCTCACCCAAACCTCATTCAAGAGATTTGTTGGGAGGGAAGAATCCAGGAACAGCCACAAGGAGAATAGTCAGTCACAGGGTTTATATAGGGATTCTTAAGGTGTGGAGTTTTTCTAGGGAGAATCCCAGGGTGGGGATTGGTCAGATTTCAATTCCTGAGCTTAGATTGGCTAGATTTCGTGCTCAGGGATTGGTTGGTTTTCCACACAGGCTTAGGGTCAGGTTTGGCTCTGGTTTCAGGGCCACAGTGTGTTTCTTTCTCTGATACTTGTCAGCCTTTTGGCTCTAGTTTTAGAGTCAGAGTGCATTTCTTTCACTGGCTCTGATTCCAGGGACAAAGTGTGTTTCTTCTGCACTGGTTTCAGGGTCAGGGTACATTTCTTTGGTTCTGGTTACAGGGCCAAAGTATTTCTTTAGCTGGTCCTTTTCCCTTATACCCTTACCACCAGCAATTTCCCCGAGGAAGTGCCATTTGAAATTGTCTTGTTTTGTTTTTAAAGATGTGATATACGTGTGTCCCCCTCCCATCTCCACTCCCCCTCCCATAACAGGGTTGGCATAACTATAGGTGTCTCCATCTGACCTGGGTGTTGGGATCCAAACTTGGCTCCTCTGGGAGAGCAACCGGTGACAATTTTGACTTGAGCCTTAAAGTATCGGCGGGGGAGTTGGCTATTCAGACCTTAGCTAGAGGCATAGGCGCAGCCGTTTAACTGCTCAGCGGTCAGTGACCCAGGCAAGTCCGTTTGCCTCTTCGTGCCCCCAGAGAGAGCTCTGTTAGTGACAGGTGAACGGATTTGGCCCACGCTGTGACTGACTGCCTGCTGCAGAATTTAAAGAACTCCAGTGCGGAAGGCTTGATGAGAGCAGGAGACGGACCTGGGCGTCCCTAGTTCTTGAAACGTTTCTGTGCTAAAATACATTTCTCCTCTAAATACGAGCCGGGGCAGTGCCATCCGTTGCTTCCTCCGTCTGTTTGGAAACCTCCCTGTGAGCCCAGGCGGGCTCCCCGAGGCCGGCGGCGACCCTGGGGGAACCGCAGACGCACCACCACCACCCGCGGAGCCCGGGAGACCGAGCGGAACGCACCCGCCAGCACGCGCCGCTCCGATTGGTCCCGCTGGCCCCGGGCGTCCAATCGGCGTAGCGTTTGTTGAGTAGCGGGAGGCGACCTGGGTACACAAGTGGCCGGAGCTAGCTGCGGGTGGCCGGCGGGGCCATGAACCTGGGGTAAGCCGGCGGGGACGCCCGGGGCTGCGGGGCTGGCTCTGCCCGCGCGCGGCGTGGCGGGCGCGGGAGCGGCGTGGCCGGGTCCCGGGGGCCAGCGCGGGCTGCGGCGTTGCAGCGCCCCGGAGGGCGGGCGGGCGAGCGAGATGCTCGGCTCGGCACAGCTGCCCTGCACCGAGCCGCCCGGGTACCCTGAGCCGGGGCGGGACCCTTTCACGAGTTCAGCGTTTTAGGGAGACCGGCCACCAAGCCCGGATGCCACCGCGCGCCCTGCGGCTGAGTTGTGAGGTGCTCGCCCGGGAGCTGAGCTTACGGAGCTGTAGAAAGGGGGGAGTCAGCAACTCGGGTTTCCTTCAAGGTGTTGGCCTCTAATGAGCGAAGTCTTAAACAGCATTTCTCCCACAGTGCTTCCTTTAGCAGACCGAGGCATTTTGATTCCTCTACCAAAGCAACGCTGGGTTTAGCTTTGCCAGTGAGACCCTTCCTAAGCCTGCTCGCCCTTGATGGCTTGGTTTGATTTTCTCTTTTTTTTGGGGGGGGCGGTTCGAGACAGGGTTCCTCTGTATTGTTTTGGAGGCTGTCCTGGAACTCGCTTGGTAGTCCAGGCTGGTCTCAAACTCACAGAGATCCGCCTGCCTCTGCCTCCCGAGTGCTGGGATTAAAGGCGTGCGCCACCAACGTCCGGCTGATTTTCTCTTCTAACATCCCCTTGCGTCCTTATTAACGTTCATGGACACAGTACCCGCCCCGCCCCGCCCCGCCCCGCCCCCAGGAAAACAATGACATATTATGCGGAATCCCTTAAGTGGAGTTTGGATGGTGACCCTGATGGACAACCTAAATTTTGCTGGTAGTGTTTATCGTTTCTTTATGCTGGTGCCTTTAAGTGTCGTATTAACCAAAGTGGATTATGCATTTATTATGGTAGTTAGGAGCAAAGAGGCGCGAAAGCAGCCTTGCATTATAGGAAATGTTCCAAATTGGGTGGAATTCTGTGCTCAAGCAGCTGTGGCTGGTGACCTTTAACTATCTCCAGACACTTCCAGCTCTCCTCAGAACGTGAAACCATTACAAAACTAATAAAACGACACATCAGTGTCTGACGCCTTGGTAAGTACTTCTGGTAGCAGCATGGAATTTTTGGTATAGAGCTACAAGTTAAGGGATGCTGTAATAACTGAATTACTTTATTCCTTACCAGTAACAAAAGTCAGGTTTGCTTTGCCTCACTGAAAAGTTACCTTTTCCTGTGTCCCCCCCCCACTTTTGGTTGAAAAATATACTTTTAAAATATTTATTTTAACTTTATGTGTATGGGCGTCATGTCTGCACATAAGACTGTGGACCACTTGGATGCCAGAGAGAGCATTACAGGTGGTTGTTAGCAGCAGTGTGTGTGTGTGGTTTGGCTCTGAAAAAATAGTGCTCTTAACTGCTGAGCCATCTCTCCAGCCTTGGAAAAATATAAAGACTTCTTTGAGGGAAGTTCAGGCCTCAGGATCAAGAATTCAAAGCCAGCCTGGCCTGTATAGTGAGTTTGAGGGCAGCCTGGGCTATATGGCTTTAGAAGAAAACAAAAAACAAAAAACCCCTGCTTTGATGGTCTTATGGTTCCTATATACATTCAAAGGAATAGGTTTCCTTTCAAAGTTCATGTAAATATTTCTGGTTGCTATTAAACTAAAACGTCAGAAACAGTTTTCTTTTATATCGCAGAGATGGTTTGAAGCTTGAAACTGAGTTACTGGATGGAAGAACCAAGCTAATACTGTCTCCATATGGTATGTTGTGTTATTGGAAGCCTAAAATGCTTAAGTTTGTATGTAGAACATGGAGTAGTTTAACAGACATTGTAATGAGGTAGTTAAATGACACTTGGAAAAAGCTTTTTCTGTTAATGCCCTTCCAATTGACATTTATCCAAGGAAAGACAGATCGTGACAGTCATTACTGCTATCACGGTTGGTCCGTAACATTTCTTTCATCTGTAAAATATTTTTGGTGTTAGCATACCTTCCTGTCTAATAAGTATGAAGGTAGAGTTTAGAGGGTTATGTACTTTGCATGTAAACAAGCTGTTATGTGAGAAAGTTAAATGTACACAGTTATGTCGTTGCTGAAGTCTTTTATTGTTATTATTTGTTAGTTTTTAAACTCAGTATAGTTTCTCAGTCTTTTCCATCAAGTAATTTGCCTGTCCCCTCTCTGCCATCTGCTTTTATCCTTCCTTGGAAAGATGACCTAACTAGAGATGACATGGCGGTTAACGCTTGAACCACCACATTGTAAAAGGGGGGATACTCAGGTGGCACCCGAGGTTAATGCGTGTGGGATAGTATTTTTATCTTAACATTGTAAACAGTACTTAATGTTTTCTTGTGTCACTGCCTTAACACGTTTTGGGTTTATAGTTTAGTAATTTTATTTTCTCTTGTAGAGCGTAAATCAAAAGTTTCTGTGAAGGTAAGTTAAGTGATTTTTGACCCTACCTGTTTCCACGAGTGAAGTGCATACTTTCATGGGTTGTATATGTTGAGGCAGGGTCTCCCAGTTGGACCCAGAGCTTGCCAGTACAGGTAGTGAAGCTGGATGGACAGCTTTCTCTGGAGGACTTCCTGTCTCTGCTATCTGAGCGCTGGAATTAGAGGTGGGCCTGCCTTCGTATGCACGCGACGTTCATGTGTGCTCTGGGCATCCAAACGCTGTTCCTCACAATTCCATGGCAAGCGTTGTAACCACTGGGCCATCTCCCCAACCAGAACTTGTCTTTATAGAAGTACTGATAGAACTTGGTTAAAAAAAAAAAGAGCAGTATACTATAAAAAAAGGTGTTTTATGACATAATCTCATCTAGCTCCTGAAAATGATTTGGGGTCGGCTGCTTTTCTTGCTCAGTAACCTGAACACAACTGAATCTTAATGGTGAAGTCTAACTTTTTCTTTTTCTTTCTTTTTTTTTTTGCCTCCTTTTTCTTTTTTTTGGGGGGGAGGGGGTTCAAGACAGGGTTTCTCGCCCGGCGGTGGTGGCGCACGCCTTTAATCCCAGCACTCGGGAGGCAGAGGCAGGCGGATCTCTGTGAGTTCGAGGCCAGGCTGGACCGACAGCCTCCAAAACAGAGAAACCCTGTCTCGTAAAACCAAAAAAAAAAAAAAAAAAAAAAAAAAAAAGACAGGGTTTCTCTGTGGCTTTGGAGGCTGTCCTGGAACTAGCTCTTATAGACCAAGCTGGTCTCGAACTCACAGAGATCTGCCTGCCTCTGCCTCCCGAGTGCTGGGACTAAAGGTGTGCGCCACCACCGCCCGGCCCCCTTTTATTATTCCTTTGGCATTGAGCTGTAGTGCTTAGAATTAAACTAATTGCGCCTTGACATGAGGTGCCATCACTGAGTTTTTGGAGAATGTTTTTAGAAGACCTTTTCTGGGTATCACTTCCGGCACAACTGGAATATGGCAAATAATACTAGTTACTGGGCTCTGGCTGCTAGCAGAGATTTTCAGCCGCTTCGAAGCTCCGGCATGGCCTAGAGCTCCGCTCCGGCTTTATTCGTGGTCTTCAGGAGAGGCAAACAGTTAGAAAGCTCCGCCCTTGTTTTCTAGAAGTGTGCAGGCCAGGTAAACGATATAGTGCAAGAAGTGAAATAGATCTGGAGACCTCGAGCCGGGCGTTGGTGGTGCACAGCCTTTAATCCCAGCACTCGGGAGGCAGAGGCAGGCGGATCTCTGTGAGTTCGAGGCCAGCCTGGTCTACAAAGTGAGTTCCAGGACAGCCTCCAAAGCTACAAAGAAACTCTGTCTTGAAAAACCAAAAAAAAAAAAAAAAAAAAGACCCAGAGACCTCGAAGGTGCAAACACTGGAGAGCAGTGCCTGCCGACGTACAACCCAGAGGTGACTCAGTCATGAGGTAGTTCTGCAGTTAGAAGTTCAGAGATGATGAGTTAGTTAGAGAAGTTGGGAAGTGAATTCCAGGCCCACAGAAAACACTACAAAATGCCAAATTATGAGAACCACGTTACTGTGGAAGATGGTGTACCTTAGGGGGGACATTTAAGACATAAAACTTAAGCCGGGCATTGGTGGTGCACGCCTTTAATCCCAGCACTCGGGAGGCAGAGGCAGGTGGATCTCTGTGAGTTCGAGGCCAGCCTGGTCTACAAAGCGAGTTTCAGGACAGCCTCGAAGACAATACAGAGAAATCCTGTCTCGAAAAACCAAAAAAAAAAAAAAAAGACACAAAACTTAGGTGGGACGTTTGAATTTATGCTCAAGGACCTTGAAGATGGTGTGACTAGTATTACTATAGGAAATCCATTAAAGACTTTTTTGTTTTAAAGAGAGCTCCGGTGGCTTTAGTAAAGGAAGGCTTCTCTGGTCTCCTGCTTCTCACCAGCCTGTTCTGGCATGCTTCTGATAGTATCAGGGTCGCCTGGGTCAGTGACAGCCAGGCTGCACACTCTGTAGCATTGCCCGCATGCTGTGCCCCGGCCAGTGTCATTGCCGCTGTGGTGACGGACACCGGTTTTAGCCACCATGGCATAGTGTTCTATCTCTTTCCTCAAGGCCGGGCAGTTGTTGGCGAGGACGACCAGCTTGGCTTTGCCCTGTCTGATCGTCTGAGAGTCTGTTTGTACCCCAGCACGTACTTCCCACTTTTCATCTCGAGCTGGAGCCTGGAGTGATGGACTCCAGGGACTTTTCCGTCTTCTCTGCGGCCACCATCTTCCCGCCTGTGGTGCGGTGCGGGACAGCCCCCAACCAAGAGCAGCCGCCAAGATGGCCAGGGAGCGAGAAAGGACTTTTTTTTTAAAGATGGGATTTCACTGTATAACTCCACTGTCTTCTGCCCCAGCCACAGGGATTATAAGCTCAGCTCAGTATAGGAGCTCTGATAGTGGAAGCAGTAGGTAGATGTGATCTAGTTTTCTACGTAGGGAAGCACAGTTCAGGTGATCGTAACAGAAAACTGGTTCCTTGTCACTTACAACAGCCGGAGGAGCACCTGGTAAAGGCACTGAACTTACATGGTAGTTACCAGGATGACAGGAGCCAAAAATGACCTTTAATACCAGTTATGGGAGTCTGCCACACTTAGCAGTTTGAATGAGATGCTAGCTTTAGAGAATTCAAGTGCCCACTGCAAAGGCTCACGAGTCAGGACAGCAGGAAGAGGGTAATCCCAGCGGTTGGGGATGACCTGGGGTGGTCGGTAGAGGCCACCTGTTTGTGATTTGATAAAGTAACTTGAAAAACTAAAATTACTTGGTTTTTTTGGGGGGGAGGGATTTTTGTTTTGTTTTGTTTTGTTTTGAGACAGGGTCTCCACACAGTCCTGGCTCTACTGGAACTTGCTATGTAGACCAAGCTGGCCTTGAACTCACAAAAATGCCTCTGCCTCTGCCTCTTGAGTGCTATAATTAAAGGCATATGCCACCACACCTGGCTCTAAAATGACTTGTTTATGTCTAGAAATGAGGGTCTAAAATCTGGCATGCCTGATTTTCTTGAACTATTGGATGATTTTCCAACTAGGCTGTATCCTTGTACAACAGTGCGTCGTAGCTGGGAAATATGGTAGTACCCTTTAGATGAGAAAAAATGCCCTTCAGGTCATGCCAGTTTCCATCTGGTCCAACTTACGGGACATACTTTAATTTGTCAGCCGTCATTTAGACAGTTTTATTGAAAAAGCGCCAGGGCTGCAGATGCTGGTATTATCCAAAACCCACAGCCAGCAGCTGGAGAGACATGTCAGCAGCTAAGAGCTCTGTCTGCTTCTGCAACATGGCAGAGGAATCCAGTGTTTCTTCTGGCCTCAGTGGGCCTAGCACACATATAATGCACCAGCATACACTCAGGCACACACACATGAAATGTGTATTTTTGAAAACAACCGAGACCTAAAGCCAGGAATACACAGGGTGAGAGGCTTGCTTAGTATGTGTGGCAGAATGCAGAATAAAGAGTGGAAAAGAAATAATTCTGGTTGGTGGTGGCGTCTAAGATTGATAAGAAATGAGCAAGCGGGGAGATGTCAGGGTGTCAAGATAATAGATCCCAGCACATGCAGACACTGCTTAGAATGGGGATGTGGGAGAGAATGAGTTACCAGCAGGAGATGATAGTCAGTATCTAGAAGTTGAAACTGAAATTGTAGAGAGCCTATAGTTGTGGGTCCTTATAGGGTCAGTAAAGATCACGGGTTACAGTACAACATCCAGGACACCGGGGAATGAGTGAGGCCCCATGGAGAGGAATATAGACGAGTATGAGCAAGTGGCTAGCCATCAAGGCAGAAGAATGACGGGATGTGAACACGGCAGTAATTAAGACAGGACTGGAGCCGGGCGGTGGTGGCGCACGCCTTTAATCCCAGCACTCGGGAGGCAGAAGCAGGCGGATCTCTGAGTTCAAGGCCAGCCTGGTCTACAAAGTGAGTTCCAGGACAGCCTCCAAAGCCACAGAGAAACCCTGTCTCAAAAAAAAAAAAAAAAAAACCAAAAAAAAAAAAAAGACAGGACTGGAACTGGAGGCTTGGTGAGCAAGAGCTACGATAGTTGAGGAATAAGGACTGGTAACCTCCAAGGTAGTATGAGTTATAAGGTAGCATGTATGAGTTACACAATTTACTGATACTCAATGCAAAGCTGGCATATAATGGAGATGACCTATAACATACAGTTTTATTTGTATTCTTTAGTATCTGGAGTTAAAATAATTTCTCATTGTTGAGTTTTTCAAGTGGAAGTCTGCAAAGGTAAACAGTATCTTATGGCTGTAGTATCTAATAGCAAAATTAAAAGTTTTAAGAGGCCTGACTTACCCCAGGTTTTAGGAATAAAGATGAGTGTTAGCTGGGTGTGGTGGTTCACACTTGTAATCTCAGAAGAGATGAGAGGATCAAGGCCATCTTAGGCTGCATAGCAATTCTGTGTCCCCAGACAAAATGATCATGTCACTTTTTTTCAGACATTGTCATACAGAATAAACTTGTGTTTTAACAGATGGAAAATAAGATCAAGATTGCAAAATGTCCTTTAAGAATAAAACAGACTGGACACGTTCTAAAATCAACACAGAATTCTCACATTGGGAATGAAAACAGTTTTCAAAAGAAGATAATTAGTTCAGAAACTTCACAGGCAAAATATGAGAAAAATAGATCGACATTTTCACCTTCTAAGGACTTATGTCAGCAGTATACAGAAAAAGACTGTCTTCATTTCCAAAAACAGTCTTCACCCGCAGCCTGTAATACACAGAAGACTATAAACGCCACAGATAAATGCCTAGTGGCTAAACAGAAGTCTTGCAAAACACAGGCCACCGAAAACATGGACAGCAGCATGGTGTGTCTAACACAAGACCAACTACGGCAGATTTTGATGAGTGTAAACCAAGGAAATGGGCCTGTGCCCCTAACTGAAAATGGAAAGGAGGAAACAAGTAAGATTTTTCTTAAACTTTGTTAACTATTAGTTTTCCCAGAATGTGCTTTTGAATTTCAGATTTATTGGCTGCTTTTGTGACTGTCTCTTGAAATCTGACTTAACATGCAGTAATCCTTTTTTTTTTTTTTTGGTGAGGGCATGGTTGAGGCAGAGTTTCTCAGTGTAGCCCTGGCCTGGAACTCACTCTGTAGACCAGGCTGGCCTCGGAACTCACAGAGGTCCGCCTGCCTCTGCTTCCCGAGTGCTGGGACTAAAGGCCTGTGCTACCACCACCTGGCACGTGCAGTAATTTTAAGTTCTTATTCACATTAGGCTGTTTCTCATATATAAAATATGTAAAACTGCTTTATAGTTTTGCCATATCTTAAGATTAATGCTCAATTTTTTGTGACAGGGTCTCTCAATGTAGTTATGGCTATCCTGGAGTTTTGTACATAGACCAGTCTGGCCTCAAACTCACAGAGATCCATCTGGCTCTGCCTCCTGAGTGCCGGGATTAAAAGCATTTGCTACTCTGCCTGGCCTAAAAGTAATCTTAAAGTAGCTGGTTTTGGGCTGCAGAGATGGGTCAACAGTTAAAGTATTTATGTAAGCCTGCTGTGGGTTCAGCCCTGTAATCCCTGTGTTCAGCAGACCGAGGCAGGAGTACACACACCGAGGCAACTTTGAGCTACATGCTACATAGTGGGATCCTTTTCAAAAAACAAATTACATGCAAGACACCTTGCTGTGACAACTTGAACTTCTGAAATACGTTCTTCTGGTTGCTGTGTGTGCTTCCTGTCTCCCCTCCATCCACGCTAGGGTTGGCTGTGCTAGGCTTTGATCAGTGTAAATCAGATTTACCGATAGTAGAGTATTATAGGCTTTCTGTTTCACCTGTCAGGGTTATGTTTTAAAAACCTAAATTCAGCTTTGAGCTAAGAAATTGTGACTATGAAAGTACTTGGAATGACAAAATATTAAGTATAGTGAAAGGAAAATAAAATGACCCTGACCATGGGTGCTGGATAACTTCTGTGTGCACCCACGCGTCCATAGCAGAGTTCCTTCTCCCAGTCAATATTATTTGTAAGATAAAGGAAGTTGGCTTTCTTTAGGCTAGAATTGCAGCGGAGAACTGTATCTCATTGCTAGGTATAGTGAGAGTTAGTATCAGTAGAGTTAAGACATTTTACTTCATCGTGGGGTAACTTACATTTCAGATGCTCCCTCCTCGGGAGGAATCACAACAACATTTAAGCTAGGGTATGAGCCTTCTAGACAACACTAGGTTTATTATGGTGGCTGGGGCACATAGACCACAGTTCACAGAAAACTTCCACGGGTAAGGAAGCAAAACAAGATCATGGGTGTTTTGTTTTGTTTTTAATAAATTTATTTACTCATTTATTTTTCATCCTGGCCAATGTTTGCCCTCCCTCCTCTCCTCCCAATCTCTCCCGCCATCCCCTCTCTGTTTCCACCCCAATCCATTCCTCCTCCATTTATTAAAATATTTGCATTTGCCTCTTTATGTTGTGATTTATGTTATAATTACATGTAATTACAAATTACATGTAATTTTAAAGCTATAACTTTTTTTGGCAAGAGTAAATGGAGGTTTTGTTTTGTTTTGTCAAATAGATCTCACGTAACCAGGCTGGCTTCAAACTCAGTACACAGCTGAAGGCCTGAACTTCTGTCTTTCTGCCTCTGTCTCCTGAGGCCCGACACACAGGTATGCACCACTGACTGGTTCATGCAGGGCTACGCATGGAATATACTGGGTTGGCATACGAGGCAAGCATTTTATGTATTCTAGGCAAGCTTAGTGGTATTCCCGTCCCTGATTTTTCTGTTTTTGCTTGTTTTCTTTTTTATTTGATGTAAAAAGTTGTATGACTGTGGCCAGGAGTGAGCTATTTAATTTCTGGGCCACAATTTTTCTCTTTAGAGTAAGATCTCATGTCAGTTAGGCTGGCCTCAGTCTACCCTGACTCGAAACGGATACTATCAGTCTGTTTTTGTTGTTTGTTTTACCAACAACGCTGCTGTTGTGCCCAGGGTGGTCTTGAACTCCTCCCAATCTTCCCACCCTTCTGTCCCACGTGCCCAGACTCTGGTTTACACTGCGGGCTGGCTTATGTGGCGCTGGGGGTTATCCTAAGACTGTGTTCTTGTGAGGGAGGCGCTCTACCGACTGGGCTGCACTCCAGCCTGTTGGGTTTTGTTTGTGAGACATCCTCATGTGGCTGAGGCAGCCTTTAACTCCTGATTATCTTGCTCTGTCTGCTGAGTGCCTTGATTGCCCAAGAGTCAGGGTCTCACTGTGTAGCCCAGGCTGGCCTGAACACAGAGATTGGCTTGCCTTTGCCTCCTGAGTGCTGGGACTAAAGGTTTGTACCTCTGTACATCCCTATTTATTTATTTGTTTGTTTTGAGGTGCGGTCTCACTCTGTGTCCTAGGCTGGCCAAGGACTTGGTATTTTGTCCTCAAATTCAGAATGATCCTTTTGCCCCAGCTTCCTGAGTTTATCTGGGGGTTATGCCTGCTAAGACTTTTCTTTCAACACTATAGGCATGTGTTCGGATGAGGTGTTATAGATAGTGTGATTTTAAAACATGCATTTTACTTCCTAGGTCAAGATAGTTTACATTTAATCAATATTCCTAGCCAGCCAAAGGATGTGAATGTGCAGAAAACGGAGGCTGTTTCATCTGTCTCAGATGGAAATAAGTATGTCTTCAGTAGAACTCAAGAGGCTTTTCAACAGTGTGAGCAGAAAATTGCCATGTATGTGACTCCTATGTGTTTCTGGGGTATCTGGAGAATATGTCTTTGCTTGCCCGTTGCATGTGAAGTGCTCTGAAGACTTAGCTATTTATGTAGTGGAAACATAATGATAAGGCTCCTGGCTTTCGTGTCTGTGTTTTCTCCTAGAAAAAATGAGTGGAAGCCAGCTGATATATTCAGTACTCTGGGGGAACGGGAGCGCGACAGAAGTTTGTTGGAAGCAAGAAGAGCGCAGTGGAAAAAAGAGCTAGGTAATCTATGTGCTTCCCCGTACAGGTCTGTTGGCTCGTGGAGAGCTTGGTTATCTTTCAGCGTGCTACCAACATCTTCCAGATGTTGCAGTGTGTACATCTGCAGTTTTCAGTGTGTTACATCTTCCAGATGTTGCAGTATGTACACCTGCAGTTTTCAGCGTGTTACTAACATCTTCCAGATGTTGCAGTGTGTACACCTGCAGTGTTACTAACATCTTCCAGATGTTGCAGTGTGTACATCTGCAGTTTTCAGTGTGTTACTAACATCTTCCAGATGTTGCAGTGTGTACATCTGCAGTTTTACTAACATCCTCCAGATGTTGCAGTGTGTACATCTGCAGTTTTCAGCGTGTTGCTAACATCTTCCAGATGTTGCAGTGTGCACATCTGCAGTTTTCAGCGTGTTGCTAACATCTTCCAGATGTTGCAGTGTGTACATCTGCAGTTCTCTGCAGACTCCTGAGGAGCTTTAGGGTTTCCCATCACCCTGTGTCTTTGGTGCTCTTCAGTGTCCACTAGCATCCTTCTGGAACCCTGCAAATATTCCTAAGCCTTTTCTGCTTATGTTGTTCTGTTATGGAAATCCTGTGGATTGAGGTATGACTAGTTCATTGTGTGTGGTGGGGGGTGGGAGTCAGAGAACAGTTGGTAAGGGTCAGTTCTCTTCCCTTCTTCCACTGTCTGAGTCTTGGGCTTGAACTCAGGTCGTCAGGCTTGGTGGCAGGCGCCTTTACCCAGTGAGCCATCTCACCTGCCCATAGCTTCAATTCCTATTCCAGGTTCAGCAATTAGTGAGGACTGACTAATATCCGTACTTTGTGCTAGGCCCTACACTGAAAGGCAATGCCTTTACTCAGTTTTACAGAAGAAACCAAGGTTTAGTGGGTGGAATAGCAGCTTGTCTGTTGCATAGGTAGGAAGCGGCTGAACTTGAAGTGGTCCTAAAGTTTGCTGTGCACCTTCTAAGCCTATTAGTAATAGCAGCACAGGAAGGCAGAGACGCAGAGGGCTTAGCATAGCAGTGCTCTGAGAGGTTCTCCCGTGTTCCTGACCTCTGTAATAAAAACATTCTTGCCCCTGTCTGTGCAGTGCTCTGAGAGGTTCTCCCGTGTTCCTGATCTCTGTAATAAAAACATTCTTTTTTTTTTTTTTTTTTTTTTTTTGGTTTTTTTTTCGAGACAGGGTTTCTCTGTGGCATTGGAGGCTGTCCTGGAACTCGCTCTGTAGACCAGGCTGGCCTCGAACTCACAGAGATCTGCCTGCCTCTGCCTCCCGAGTGCTGGGATTAAAGGCGTGAGCCACCAACACACGGCTAATAAAAACATTCTTACATCTGTCTGTGCTGTACTTAAGGCTGATTCTGATTCAGGGTTTTCTTTTATCCCATATCCTTCCAAGTTCCTTTTTGCCTTGTGAGTCATCTTCTCCCCAGCAAACAACTTTGATTAGCTGCTTCATTTTGTCCTCTTTAAGGTCATGATTTTTTTTTACATGATTTTTAGTTGTATACATTTTTTAAAAAGGACATTATTTACAGATGAACAGGTTGCTTTAAAGAAGAAAGAGAAAGAAGCTTCTCAAAAATGGAATAATCCTTGGAAAAACTCTGAAATAACATGTGAGAAGCTTCAAACCCTTGACCAATCTAAGGTAAGAATATCAAATTCAGTCAAGCATGCTGCTTATGTCTTTGTTATTACAAGTTTTTTTTTTTTTTTTTTTTTTTTTTTAAGACAAGGTCTCACTGCTCAGGCTGTCCTAGAGTTCACTATGTATACGAGGCTGGTCTCAAACTCACAGAGATTCACCTGCCTCTGCCCCCAGAGTAACAGTATTAAAGATGTGTACCACCATGCCTGATCTTTATTACAATTTAAAAAATGTTCAAACTATAGAACCTCCTTTGACGATTTGGGTTCTTTTGAGGCAGGGTTTTGCTATGTAGCTCTGGCTGGCTTCAACCTTAGGACATTTCTCCTGCCTCGGCCGCTTTGTGCTAGGATCCAGGCGTATGCCATCACGCCCATCTTATTTTTAGTGCTCATTGACTGAAAATGAAAAACTGCTTGTCTTAGGTGTGGTGTGGTGCTTAATTTAGCCATGGCCAAACCGAGCTTTCTCAGCTTCCATGTGCAGTTTGCAAGTTGCCTTGCTGATGGGGTTTTTTGTTGTTTCTTTTTGTTTGTTTGTTTTTCGAGACGGGGTTTCTCTGTATTGTTTTGGAGACTGTCCCGGAACTCGTTCGATAGACCAGGCTGGCCTCAAACTCACAGAGTTTGCCTGCCTGCCTCTGCCTCCCAAGTGCTGGGATTAAAGGTGTGCGCCACCAGCACCTGGCTCTTGCTGATCTTTATTGGTGTTTAATTTTAGGTAAAGACATAGTTTGTCTTCCTTTCTCTCCCTTTCCTTCTGTTTCTTCAAACATTCTGTCACAGGTCTCTAGACAGATTATGGCTGTCCAGGTTGATGGGTGGCTGCTACTTAGAGCTAGTCAGTCATTAGATGGTGAGTTCTAAGTATTAGTACTTTGGATTTTCCTTCGAAGGAATGATTCTGGGTCTCCTTCTTTTAATTGCTAATTAGACTTCTTTCTATTACTTCTCAAGTGTGTGTGTGTACAGGGTTAAACTTGGGTCATCAGGTTAGGCAAATGTCCTTACTCGCTTAGCCATCTCACTGGGGCGATCAGTTTGTACACTGGTAATATTAAAGTCACAAGTTATTAAAAAGTCTTTAATATGTGACTTAGGATCTCTGTTACCACAACGAAAACACCATAGCCAAAAAGCAAGTTGGGGAGGAAAGGGCTTATTTGGCTTACACTCTGCATTGTAATTTATCACTGAAGGGACCCAGAACAAGACCTCAACCAGGGCAGGAACCTGGAGGCAGGAGCTGATGCAGAGGCCATGGAGGGTGCTGCTTACTGGCTTGTTCCCCATGACTTTCTTAGCTTGCTTTCTTATAGAACCCGGGACACCAGGCTAGGGATGGCACCACGCATAATGGACTGGGCCCTCTCCTATGAATCACTAATTAAGAAGATGCCACTGCTCATGGTAGCACATACCTTTAATCCCAGCACTTGGGAGGTAGAGGCAAAAGTGAATCTAAGTTTGAGGCCAGCCAGGGCTGTTACACAGTGAAACCCTGTCTCAAAAAAACCAAAAGAAAGAAAAAAAAGAAAAGAAAGGAAAATGCCCTACAGCTGGATCTTAGAGGGGCATATTCCTGATTGAGGCTTCTCCTTTCAGATAACTATCATGTGTCACATTGACATAACACTCTGTGGCGCAGCATGTAAGCTCCTCAAAAGACTGGCATGCATTGGAAGGATGTAGTCTATGCGCATTAAAAAAGAAAGAGGACATTCAGAGCAACTAGTGCTGGAGAGAGAGCCCGGTGGGTAAGAGTACATACTGCTCTTAAAGAGGACTGAGGAGAACAGGATGTGCTCGCTCCTAGTCACAAGCTGGTCAGCAGCCCCTATGGGGGATGGGTCCAACGCTGAGGTCAGTCCCAGCATCTATCCTGGGTAGCTCACCATGCCTGTAACTCAGCCCCAGGACATCTCACACCCTGTTTTGAACTCTGGGAACCTGCACCCGTGCACACACCTACATATACAGAGAGAATGTTCAGCATTTGTCTTTCTGTGTCCGGGTATATTTTCTAGTTCATCCATTTACCTGCACATTCCATGACTCAGTATTTCTTTTTCTTTCCTTTTTTTTTAAATGGCTGAATTGTGTTGCATTTCATTATGTACATATACCATATTTCATTGTCCATCAGTCAAAGGCCATATAGGTTGTTTGTATTTCCTGGCTATGTGAGCATTATTGAGCAAGTACTTGTAAAGTAGGATGAATTTTAGTTGTTCCACTGTTTTTATTCTTGGAAAATCTACTCAGTCACCAGAATATTCTTTCCACAATTTGCATTTTTATAGTCTGTTTTAAATGAAGAATCAATTAAAACATTTTCTTTCTGTGTTTAGATGTTTTACACCATCTACCAGTATATTTAAAATTCAACTCTGAGGGTCAGAGCGTTTCTCCTTAATAGGACAATCAGATTCCTTGCTTGACAGCATTGCTTCCCCTAGGGATAAACGCCTTCCTTACTGGGTTAGGCCTGTGTGGTAAGATTTATACTGTCGGGGTCTGACTTTAGTTGGTTATCCTCTTGTTCAGGAAGCAGGGCTGCCGGAGTATTCTTGCAGCACTGTCAAACAGGAGCAGCAGAGAAAATGGATTGAAGACTTGAGTAAACAAGTAGAAGATGACCAGCAAAGGAAAACAGAGGAAAAAATGATATATTCCAAGGTAACTCAGGAAGTTATGGCTTCAATGGAAGTAAGATTTCAAGTCTTTAGCCACATAAACTTATAAATATTCTGAAATTGTTTGACAAATTAAACATTTATCCTTATGAAACTGTTTTCATAGCATCTCTGTGTGATTTTACATAGCTTTTTAAAACTTTAGAAATGAATTTTTTAAAAAATTCTCAAGATAGTTATCTAATTACATAAAGAATCAAAGAATATAATTTTGTTAGTTTTGATGATGCGTATACTACCTGTTTTCTTTACATATATGCCCGCACCACGTGTATACAGTGCCCAAGGAGGCCAGAAGAGAGTTAGGATCCTCTGGAACTAGAGGACCAGGCAGCTGCTGGCTGCCGTGTGGGTGCTGGGAACCGAACCCTGGTTTCTTCTTGGAAGGGCAGCTATCTCCCCAGCTGATCAGTGTTTGTCATTTACAGTTTTGTAAGGGAGTAGTTGAAAAGTTCTGATTGTTTCTTATTTGTCCCTGTTAGGGTGAGGAACATGACAGATGGGCAATGCATTTTGATTCGTTAAAGAGTCTTCCTGGGTCTCAGTCTCGGCTGTCCTGTCAGTTAACACAGCAACACCCGGAGTCCTTTTGTGTCTCTCCTGACACTCAGGAGCTGGCCGATGTCAACAGCATTTACACACCTCTGCCTGGCATCCGGGTGGAACCTTCCGAGGAGGAACAGAGAGCCAAACCCGTTCCGGATGTGGCTGCATCACACAGTCAGAAAACAAAGTAAGTTTACGTTACACGTTCAGTCCTTTAGAAAGTGTGTTTGACTTGGACTGTCACTATGTCCAGTTTGTTTTAGTTTCACATTTTTCTCTGAAATAGAAATGATGAGCAGATAACCTTTGTGGCGTTTTGAATATGCTTCACAGCTTTCTCCGTTCTATGACTGCACTCTTGGACCCAGCACAGATTGAAGAGCGGGAAAGACGCCGGTACAAGCAATTAGAACATCAGGTATCACTGTAAAACACTCCCTGTTTCCATACTGTGCCTCACACTGTAAAACATTGTTCCTTAGTAAGTCATGATGGCCAACATATACCTACGTAAATAGAAAATTGATTTTTTCCCCCTGAGATGAGCTTTAATGTAGTTTATGCTGGTCTTGAATTTGCTGTGTAGCCAAGGCTGGTCTTGAATTCTTGATCTTCTATCTCCACCCCCCAGATTCCAGTATTACAGGCATATGCCACCACACACAGCTGGAAATTCCGATATAAAATTTCAACTTGGGTCTAACTATATCCTGCTGTAAATCCAGTCTCTTAACACAACTGGCATCGTTGTTGTAATTTAAAAGCAGTGTGAGAGGGAAAGATACCATGGGGAAGAGCTCATGTGGAGCGCTTTATTAGGGGAAAGGGAATGGGGAATAGCTGGAGGGGGGACTGGCCTCTGGGTACGGGAGCAGCAGGAGAGAGGCGGGGCATGGGGGCAGAGAGACGGGCAGAGAAGCAGAGAGAGAGAGAAAGAAGATGGGAGGTGGGCAGGGCCCTTTTAAAAGGGAACATGGTGAATGTGCACAGGTGGTGCTCTTAGTGACTGCAGCTGAGAGTGTGTCCTGTCAGAACCCCAAGAACAGGCCAGGACAGATGCCTGAATACTAACAATCCATATTAGAATTAAGCTTGAGCTGAAGTCCAGACAATATTATTGCCATGTTGCCTACTTCTGGTGGGGCCATTAAGTGAGAATGTTGTATAGATGACTTTGTACTATTATTAAATATTGGCTACTTCCACAGAGTTCTGTTCAGGTCTTTGAAAGAAAAATGCAAAAAAAAAACCATCAAAGTAATCTAGTAGGTAATATAGGGCTGAGATTAAACTCTTTATTAGGCTGACGTAGAGGGACAGTGGTCTGAGTGGCTTTTGTGGTTCTCTTTACTCTGAAGGGTTTGTGTGTTGAAATAAGCCCTTGCCATGTTGCTAAGATGTGGCTCAGACATTTTCTTAGTCTTCTGAGTAACAGGTGCGACAGGTAGGCACTCAGCCCACAGTACTGATCCCAGCACAGGTAGGCACTCAGCACACAGTACTGATCCCAGCACAGAGAGGCACTCAGCACACAGTACTGATCCCAGCACAGAGAGGCACTCAGCACACAGTACTGATCCCAGCACAGAGAGGCACTCAGCACACAGTACTGTTCCCAGCACAGAGAGGCACTCAGCACACAGTACTGATCCCAGCACAGAGAGGCACTCAGCACACAGTACTGATCCCAGCACAGAGAGGCACTCAGCACACAGTACTGTGTCCAGCACAGAGAGGAACTCAGCACACAGCGCTGTGCCCAGGTTCAGCAATTCTTTTAAACAATTTGTGAGTAATTTGGCCCAGTTAATTTTCTTTTGTGAGCTCGGTGAAAAGCTGAACCATCTCCCATCTATCAGTCAATGTGGTGAGCACTTGAGGTAATCTCTTTAGTTGATTCTTTTTGTGATACACATGCTTTGCAAGTACAGTTCTCCTCCTACTCCATTGTGTGTAACTGACAACTGTATTCTCCTCAGAACCAGCGCTAGGTGGGTTTTTGCTTGGGGCAGTAACTTGTGATTCCTTCCGACTAGAAAGCAGTCATGGCTCAGGTGGAGGAGAACCGCAGGAAGAAGCGGCTGGAAGAAGAACGACGAAAGAAGGAAGAGCAGGAGGAGGAGCAGCGCCTGGCCCGGGAACGGGAGGAGATGCAGAGGCAGTATGCGGAGGACACGCGTAAGCAGAAGCAGAAAGAAGTAGGTGCTTTATCGTGAAAGTCACCTAGAGGCTAGGTGTCGGCACGTTTTGAATTGGGCAGTTCACGTGCGGAGACACTACAGCCAAGGAAAGGGAGACTTGGCGGGGCCACACCCTCATTGGTCCAGATCTCAGATGCCGCACGCTTGGTCTGTTAGTGGGAGACGGTCAGGGTGAATGCAACACCAAGCTTTGTTATGATCAGGAGTAGATACATACAGCCTACTAATAATTCTAGGTATTGGGCCCACAGGATGGCTCAGCAGGTAAGGGGTGTTGGTAACCAGTACCTAGAACCCATGTTCCAGAGGAGGATTTGAAAAGCTGACTTCTTGAGTTCCCAGGACAGGCTCCAAAACAATAGAGAAACCCTGTCTCGAAAAAACCAAAAAAACAAAAAGAAAAAGAAAAGAAAAGCTGACTTCTGACCCCCGCAGACACACTGTGGTACAACATTACCACCTCCCCACCCCTAAGTGAATCCAAAGTAATAATGATTCCAGATACTGAGTAATGACTGGCTGGTATTTCTGATGAAATCCTTGGCTTCCATTGGGCTCACTAATAGACTTTACAAAAGTTGGTATCTTCTTGTCAGCAAAACCCTCCGTTACTGCCTCATACAGGGCAGGTGGGGGCAGGTGGGGTGGTTCAAATGCCGTGTGAGCTGAGCTGACAGAACAGATTGCCTGGTGCTGTTTCAGTTGTCAGCTTTAAAACAGCAAGTCTGTACTTCCTTGCCGGTTTGACTTGGTGTCTTTCAAAAATGGCATCTGGAAAGGTATGGTCTACACTTCAGTTCCACTGAGTAGATGGAGATAGCTGGCATAGTGGTGGTGAACACCTGTAATCCTAACATTTGGGAGTTAAGGGCAGCCTGGTCTACACAGTGAGACCCTGTCTAATAGCAAGAAAAAACACGTTAGAACTGTAATCTCTAAAAGGCCCTATTGACTGTTAGATAGGGAAAGATTGAGCGTTTGTACTGGATGAGAACAGTCACTTACTTACTTCATTGAATGTGCTTGGTAATTATTTTACTGTGTTTGTCAACCTTGATAGGAAATGATGACACTAAAGACGAATGAGCTATTCCACACAATGCAGCGAGCTCAGGAGTTGGCACAGAGACTGAAACAGGAGCAGAGGATCCGAGAACTGACTCAGAAAGGCCATGATGCCTCCAGGCTGATTAAAAATCTTGGCTGTAAGTGATTAATCAGAATTTTATTTATAGTTCTGGTTTTGAAGATAGTTTTTAAATACCTCTCTACTTTAAATCCTTAGGAACACACATTAACTAGATATTCTTAAAGGAACAGAAGCTTTTCACCCAAGCCATCTTCAATAATGTCAAAAGCTGCCCTGAAACATTACACGTTGCAGTATCTTTTTCACAGAAATTTTCACAGTAATCCTGACATAGGTACAATGTGTACTTTAATATTCATTCTTTGAAATCCAGGAAAGGCTAAGAATATAGGTAGATTTTAATAATGAATTTAGGCTGCACTGTAAGTCTAGCCTTTCAGAATTGTTCCTAGAGCTTATGGTGATTAAGTCACAAAGTCTCTCGCCATTACTGCACGCTTGTCTTTCAGCGCAAGGCGCATGCGCAGGGCCTGGGTGTGCTAGGCAGACACTGTTGACAGCTGTATCCCTAACCCCACACGGAGTCTGTTAGTATTCCCCGTGTCATTTTAAGGTCTGTTTCTCACTGCCATTTGACACAGCACAAACGGATTACAAGGCATCCACTAACATTTCCAGTTCAAGAAGAGGTGCTGAGGAGGCTGCTGATGAAACAAGCGTGGCTACCATTTCCCCTGCCTCTCCCAAGAAGGATGCTGGCGTGCAGACAGGTATTCATGTAAAGTGTTTCATGTTCTGTTTCATTTTTAAAGTGAAGACATCTGAGGGTTTTTGTCTTTGCAACAAGGGCTCTTGTAGCCAAGGGTGGCCTACAACTAATTCCTGCCCCGACCTGCGGAACACTGGGATCACAGGCATGGAGGACCATGCTCCTTTTACTGTGACACTGGGGACTGAGCCCAGGATAGTGCATGCTAGGCAAGTGCTTTACCAAACTAAGCTATGTCTCTGCCTAGAAATTTGAGGTTCTTTTGTTTTTCTTTTGTTTGTTTGTTTTGGTTTGGTTTTTCGAGACAGGGTTTCCCTGTGGCTTTGGAGCCTGTCCTGGAACTCGCTCAGTAGACCAGGCTGCCTCTGCCTCCCGAGTGCTGGGATTAAAGGCGTGCGCCACCAACGCCTGGCCGAAATTTGAGGTTCTTAACAAAATAAAGGGATCTCTTTTAGTTTTGGATTGAGATCTAACATAACAAAATTGAAGTCCTCCCCCCCCTTTTTTTTGTAGTTCTAGGGAAGCACTCGAACAGTTAGCTAAATATCTAGCCCAAATCTTACCCATTTGATGCTATTTGTTGCATAGGAACCCACTATGAGACCAGGCTGGCTTGGAGCTCTCAGAAATCTTACTGCCTCTCCATCCCAGTTCAACTATTAAAGACAACATGCCCACCTGTTGTTCTTAACATGAACATACTTGTGCAGTTTACCATCACAATTTTAGAACTGTTTCAGTATTCAGATTTATTTTCCATGAAAGATGCTTTTTAAAAATATGGACTACGTCACCAGTTTTCATGTCATCCTTGCAAAGGGGCCATGCTAATCTCATTCCAGTTTTAGTGCATATGGGTTGGAGTTGAGCACAGTACTCAGTGAGTAACTCATAGTGACTCTCCTGCCCTCTCCAGCTCATTGTGTCTTAGAGTATTTGCCCGTCCTGTACTTTTCACGTAACCAGAATTAGGCTCTAAGTGCTCTTTTATGTTTGGCTTACTCTGATTTTCAGCATGATATATGGGTTTATCCATGTTGTGGATCTTATGACACACACTTCCATTTATTCCTTTGACTTCACTGTATGAATATACTGCATTTTGTTCTATGAACTTAGAACTATTATTTACTGTACCACTGAGAATAGTTACAAACTTTTGTGTAGATGTTTTCTGTTCTCTTAGGAAAGAGGAGTTACAACTTCTGAGTTATGTGATAGGTGTAGTAAGCATTTTGGGGGAGCTGCCGAATTGTCACCTATGTTAATAGCATGTAGAGGTGTTTCTATTTCTCCATGTCTTTGCCAGTACTTGGATTCGGATCTACATTACCCTAGTGACTGATTGCATGTATTTTCATGTGCTGGCTTTAAATTTTAAATAAGGTAATATCCACACTCCTGAACACTTTATAAAACGGGTTTTTAATTTAGTATGTATAGGGGTGGGTAGGATTGTGTGAGTACAGTGACCAGATCTTAACTGCTGAGCCAGGTCTTCAACCCCTAAGTTTGGAGATTTTTTTGAGGCAAGTTCCACAGAGGCATCTTTCACTCTTCAAGGAAACCTTATTTTCTCACTCCTGTGAAGTTTTTACCTTTTCTCATTTAAAACTATTATCAGTGGGCCTATCTGAAGTATTTATTTATGGCTCCTATAGTAGCTGCTAATATTAAGAGATCACATTGCCCAAGTGACTCTAACATGGTATTGTGACAGACTTTTTCTAGGGAGATGCAACATATCTCACCCAAGAAACCAGAGTAACAATTACATCAATATTCCATTGTGAGCCAGTTGAGTTTTTATTAGGGTTACTAACAGGACTATGGGTAAGGGATTACTGTTGAGGATCAGAGGTAACTTAAAAGCAGCTACATCATCAAAGAGCCCAGTCCCTAAACTACATCATCAAAGAGCCCAGTCCCTAAACTGGTGTGCACCTCTGAAAGCTGCAACCTGGAGCTCTGCACAGGACTCTCCTCTGCAGTTCTGCTGGGCAGTCTCTTTTTTTAGTGCTGGGAAGGGTTCCTCAAGAATCAAGGTTTTTCTCTCAGACATGTATCCTTTTGTTTACGTCCTGAGGCTCCAAGAGTCTTTTATGTCTTGCCATAAAGACATCACTATTTTCTGCCAGTCACTTGAGATATCAGTTCAGTATACCAGGTTACCCACAGGTCCACTGAAGGGATGGTGATAACTGGTAATAGGGCATTGTGGTATTTGTGGTACCACACCACCTAAGTGTCTATGCAGATGAACAAAATTAGGCCTATTTTATACAGTAGACTTAGCCTAAGGAAATTCTGACATGTTTCTAACATGGTTATAAAGTCTGAGAATTTTATACTACTTGAATAAGCCAGTCTGTCACTTTATTTCTTTGCTAGTGTTTGGGCTGGCCTGGAACTTCCTCCCTGGAGCTCTGTAGACCAAGCTGGCCTTGAACTTGCTCCAGTCCTCTTGCCTTGGATTTCCTAGTTGTTGGGGTGATGGGTTTGTGCACAGGGCTCTGTGTTTACATGGACCGTTTGAAACAGTCATTTCTAGACTATCAATGCAGAACGGTTACCAGCTTCTTTTAAAGCAGATTAGTAGTAGTTCTTTAATGAATAGTTTCATTTTGAGGGTTAAATTCCTAGGGATGGAAGAATGGCACAGCAGGTAAAGGGGATTGCCACCAAGGCCGAGGGTCTGGGAGTTCCATCCTTGTTCACATGGCACAAGTTGTCCTTTGCCTCCCTGTGCATGACCCACCCCCCTAAGTAAACAGATGCAACTCATCAGGTCATTAAGTATCTTTGAGAAAAGTATATTTCTACCATGTTTTTCAAATTAACCATTTGGTGTTTTTATGTAGATGACTTCAGTTTAGGAATTTTCAACAATGCACTACCACACTGTGAATCACTAACAGAGAGAGACATTAGAAACTCTTCATCTCCAGAGATTTCTGCAGAATTTAATGGACAGATTAGCACTAAAAGAGACAAGCAAGAACTAAGTATGGATAAAGGCACTAATTTAGACAAAGAAAACAGCTGGTATAACCAGTGTATTCAGTATAGAAGAACAGAGAAACAAAAACTTACGAAGAAATGTCCTAAAAAGCCTGCTTGGAATATAAATAAGCCTCTCAAACGGTATGTTCCTGCATCAGCAAAGTACCCTGTCCATCTCCAGAGGGAGAAAGAAGAAAAAAAGGTGAGACGGCAGATGGAGCTGCTTCACCTATTAGAAAAAAACCACCCTGAGAACCTCTCCCAAAATAGGCACACTTCACCAGAAGTTGCTTCATCTCACCAAGAAACAGAGTCAGAGATCAGGTTGCATCTAAGCAAAAAGGTAAGGCTCTTTTATTTCAGTACTAAGTCTGTATCAGTGTTTCTGAACTCAGTAGTTACCCAAACCCATGCTTTCAGAAGGCCGTGGCTCATCTAAGTAGGTTATAGAAAGCCATGTTAGAGGTCAGAGGATGGGACAGTCAAACTTGTTAATACATCTGTCTGTTATATAGCACCTGAACTGAGTAGCTGCATCAGAGACTGTAGTCCCCAAAAGCATGTACACATTTAAGTATAATATTCAATTTAGGAGACCAAAAAATAGGTGGTTAAAGGATATAATGTAGGCAGGATGAATGAAGAGATGAAGCTTTTTTTTTAATTGTGGACAAGTGAATAAAAACATGGTACTGAGTATTAAACCCTAAACAGGCCGGGCACACGCCTTTAATCCCAGCACTTGGGAGGCAGAGGCAGGCAGATCTCTGTAAGTTCGAGGCCAGCCTGGTCTACAAAGCGAGTTCCAGGACAGCCTCCGAAACTACACAGAGAAACCCTGTCTCCAAAAACAAACAAAAAACCCTAAACAGAGTCAGGTGTGATGGGGGTGTCTTTGAATCCCACCACTCGGGGCAGCTAGGGAGTATGAAGGCAGCCTGATCTATATAGAAGTTCTAGAAACTTTTCTTAGAAAACAACAAAAAACCTAAACAAAGCTCTGGAATGGTCATCCTAAATTAGAAGGTCACTGTGATGTAGCATTTTGGGCTGACCAAGTGTTGTTGAAAGCCTTCCTTTAAGTAGCTGTATACTGTGATTTTATTAAAACAATAAAAGTCACATATATTGTCCATGAAGAAAGAAGTACTGGCCTGGTTCTGGGACTACACTGTATTGCATACAGTATTCTTATTCAGATATGTCCAGATTATATAAGCTCGTGTGCGAAGCTGATAAGTTCAGCAGGTGAAAGTGCCTGCCACAGAGTCTGATAACCCTGAGTCTGAGACCTGTGCTACTAGGACAGAAGCAATTCTTAAGTTGTCTTCTGTTCCATGTTCACATGTGTGCACACACATACACAATGTTTCAGAAGTATCTGGGGGACATACAAATGTCACTTACTCCATGTTTGCTTGTGTTATCCATCTTTTAGGTAGAAGAACCTCTGAAAACTCCTTCAGTTATTAAAGAATGGTATGTGTATTACTTCCTTAGCTAGTGCTTTTTTGTGTGGGAAACAAAATACCCATTCAAAATTTACATGACAGTCCCATGTGCAGATGAAGGCAGTAATAGCAAAGAGGTATGGCTGGCTTTCATTGATGTAGTAAAGGGTTAATAGAGTTTTTTTTGTTTTGTTTTTTTAGCTGGACTGGGCTGAAGCTGGTTTGACTTCCATGTTTATCAACATAGGCATTCAGCATGAATAAATCAGATAGGGAAATAGACTGGTTTAAAAGTTTTTTTTTTTTTAAAAGAAATCCAGTTTAATTAGGTGGGAAGTTTAGACTGATCAATTTTACTTTTTTTTCTCCCCGAGACAGGGTTTCTCTGTTGCTCTGGAGCCTGTCCTGAAACACGCTCTGTAGACCAGGCTGGCTTCAAACTCAAAGAATCCACCTGCCTCTGCCTCCTGAGTGCTGGAATTAAAGACGTGTGCCACCAACCCCCTGGTCAATTTTTTATTCTTTATCTTGTGCATAAACCAAACAAACTGTTTTAGCACAGGCATAACCTCATGGTAAATCATGTAAAGAGAAATGAGATTAAACCCACCAATGTTGACTCTTCGAAATTAAATGCTCCCCTGTGTGGGTATATCTCCACTATCCTATTTTATGAAAAAATTATAGACCTTAGATTGTTATATATACATATTCTATTTCTTAAGGTAGACCAGGCAAATCGTGAATGAACTGCAACGTGCCGTTTCAAGGGGCCAGAGAGATGGCTCAGCAGTTAAAAGCCCTGGCTTTTAAATGCCTCTGGAAGACATGGGCTGAGTTCTCAACACCCACATGGTGGCTCTCAACTATCTATGACTCTAGTTATAAAACATGCAATTTCTTATTAAAGTTTGGGTTTTTGTTTTTAATAGGTTTCAGTCATCATCAGCAGTAAAGAGTAGAACTCAACAAACTCAGACTAATTCATTACACTTATCACTAAAAAATAGTGACTTTGAAAAAGAGAATCCGACCTTAGGAGATGGTCAAACCAAATTATCAGATGACATGTCTGAGATACCTCATTTTATTCCCTACGTTCGAACAAATGAGATCTATTATCTTGATCCGGATGCACCTTTGTCTAGGCCTTCAACTCAGGACTACCAATACCAAAAATCTCATGGTAAGTTAATAGCATTACTATAAAAGTTGAAGATGAGTGGCTCCAGCACCAGGGCGATTTAAGGCTTTTAGCCTTCACAGGCAGCGTATTTATGTACACACATATATCTTAAACTAGTCATTTGCTTGACTATTAATAAACCTTATCTGTTCTTCAGATTGTGGCCAACAACAAGAACAATTTGACTCTGAACATACCAGGGATCCACTTCTTAATCCTAAATTGGTGAAAAACAGGGATCGACAGCAAGCTATCCTTAAGGGGCTTTCAGAACTAAGACAGGTACAAGCTTTTGCTTTCTCTATATGGTGGCAGTGTTTGTATCCGAAGAATCAAAGTCCCAAGACAGTTTGGATAGTAAGACAGTTTTTATTTAAAAATATGTACATTTGAACATCAAACACAATAAAGTGCTAAAACCAAACAAAGAAACACACACAATTATATTTTAGTGAATTTTAACCAATATGGTCCATTTTTTAAAAGATTAGAACAGAATAGATCTGTTCAAAAATAAAATTATATACACGAAACTATTCACCAGACTTTTTCCCATTCCTGTGATTTTTGCATAAGCTTTTTATACACACAAAAATAAAACCCAGTAATGTGCTGAAATCTATTCAGTGGCCTATTACCTTGTATTTGAGAATAATCTGGCTCATGTGTTGCTTACCACTTATTATTCTTCCTAAAGCTAGAAAACTACCTCTGCTCAGACTGATTTTTTACTTGTATCCTTTAAGTGCTACCTCTGCTTATGTACAGCTTGAGCTCATGACTCAACCTTGGTAATGCACACAAAGGAACAAGAGAAAGTAGTGTGATGTTCATTCATACTTCATCATAACCCTTACACTGTTTCAAGAGCTAAGATACACAGTGGGATATTAAGACTCTCATTGTATCTTCTCATGATATTAAGAGCACTTGAGAGTGGATTTCAATCCACAGTTGCAGTAATTTTATTAGAAATCATCCCTGTTGCTTTCATAGTAGAAAATACTCTAGCGAGGTAACACCCAAACAAGGAAGTCCGCTATAAGAATTACTAAAAAAGATGTCCAATAACAATTCTATCCTGAGCTCAGTCATTTTTTCTCTATTGTGTATTTAGGTTGGCTATACACCTTCACTCAACTATCAATGTGATTACAGGGTCTTCTCCAGAAACAAAAGGAGTTGGAAACGAACATCATACCCTAACTACAAACCAAGAAGATAACTTTAGTTCTTCGTTTTAAATATGCTAACCCTGCAACTGCATTTTCAAGCACCCAATGAGAAACTTAACATGTAGTAAAATGCTGTATTTTTTTTAAATGCAATAAAACAGTTTATAGTAAAAAAGAAAAAAGAAAAAAAATCTGTCATACTAGGGTGTAAAAGTACTTTCTACTTACCACAATAGAGTCTGGATATCCCTGATCTGTTAACAGTGTTGCTCATTTGTTCTGTAAGAAGTTCTCTTAGGGCATGGGAAGTACTATTAACACACTGAGCTTGACTCTTACTGAAATAACTCAAATTCATTTTAGAATCCTGTGGTTTTTCTTTTCTGTAAATTTTGTTTTCATTGTATTAAAAGCGGAGATGCCCCAGTTTTACATAACAACAGATGTTATATAAGGGCTTGAAATTTTTCTCCGCCATACAGTTTTTGTATAGATTTAGTATAGCACTAAAGTGCCTAACTAGTTTTAGACCACCTCTCAAAGATCTATTCCAAATTATCCAATGCCATTGAAAACCAAAGCCCCATTTTTTAAAAGTTCATTTGATTGACTACAGATCACACAAAACAGTATTACCAAGGATCTCAAAAAGCTGACCAAAATTTGAGTGAAGCTAAATTTTTACATAGTAAACCTAAAGACAGAGAAAATGCTACTTGGTATTATAGACATAGGTTTACTACCTAAAATGCAACTGCACTGTAGGTATAGCTTGAGGTACTGAGCCAAAATCCTGTAAATATTGACACTGCTGGCTTATACCTGTGTAAAAACACTATACAAAAGCTTTAATCAAAATAAATAATTGACATTTCAGCAAATTTAGTTATCTGACATTAAAGTCATTACTATTTACCATTCTTTTATAAACATCAAATTTTACATATAAAACAGACTTCAATTTGAAGTCGCAGTACAGGTAACATATAAAACTGAAAGGTGCCAACATGAGATAATCTGATTACAATATGTCCCAAAAATATATTTTATTTCAACTTTCAGATGTTTCAAATGGTATAGGCCACCATGATTTATAAGTGGGGAAAAAAAAATAAAACATTTCAGAAAGGTTAGGAAACTTGTTTAAATTTTTAAATCATCAATTCACTTTAAACACTTTTAAGAAACTGAAAAAGTCCACAACAACTTTTTTTTTTTTTTTTTGAGTCACTGTAATTTTATCTTTGGACACTTCCTCAACTTAATGGAGATTTCTCTCTATCTGAGTTTTTGTAAACAGATAAAAAATAATTTTCATTTTCTTGAGATTGAGTTGATGAAAGTGTATATGGTGTCCCCAGAAACGTCTGATGAGTGAGAACATTAAAATGACTAAACTGCTGGGACATTTTTAATTGATTTTGATAAGCCTGAACGTTGCTATATGAATCTTGTTCTGCTGAATTGCTGTTCTCTCCTTCAGAGCATACTCTATCAATAGAAGCTCTCTCTTCACAATCAATTTGGTAAGTCTTATCTTCTAATAGATTGTTTTGCACGTCAAGAGATGACTGCAATTCAATTTGAATATTCTTTTTTTGATCTGTTCCACTTGATCCTTTGGTTTCTCTCGCCAATATTTCTGAATGAAAACTGCTGAATACTTCTATATGTGAGATTTCATCCCCTGAATCCAGAGACATATCCTCTTCATCCTTTTCATCGTTTTCTAAAAGAGCTACATTTAAAAAACAAAAAGCCCTCCTCTATTGAAATACACATTTGTTTAGTGTGTAAGATTATACACTACTCACACAACATAGTGCGTCAGGTCTGCAAAGTCCACAATCCCTTACAGCTTGGTCTTCTGCCACAAGTTCACTTAGTCCCAACACTCACACTATGTGAGTGTCCGGATAATCCGATGCTAAAAGCTTCTGCGAAATGTGTTCACGTTTAATGTTGGGAAATCCCAACTCCCAGCTCCAAAGGGGTTAATGTCAAAACAGCATCTAAAGTTATACGGTAATTCAGTATTTCATAAGACAAATATAAAATAAAACTTCTGACATGTAGCTTCACTGAATTACTAAACTGGTTAGCTCTACTGAATGCTTGTCATCTCTGCTTTTTGCCGAAAATAATTTGAGAACAGCTTTTACACTCTAGAACCAAGCAGAGGCCATCTCACAGAAGACTGAAGGTAAGATATCCTCACTACCCTGTATTCAACTAGCACATACATCTGAAGACCTTTTGTAGCCCAACAGTCCCTCTATCTGCTTTCCTTAAAAACTGACAGCAAACAACAGGCAATAAAGTTTATATACCCTCAGAGGGAAAAATAATCCTGTAAGTATGTGCTGTCCACAGAACAGAAGAATGAATGCATAGCCTGTGCTAACAACTTGTACTGACTACAGTCTAATAAATGAGCAGATCTTGTATATACTAAATTCTAAGGTGATGTCTATTATTGACACTGAAGGTAAATGGGTTCAATAAACATTTCACTATTGGATAAACAAAACCTCATTCTGTCTCACCTAAAGAAAATGAAAACTATTAAAAAGTTACCTGACTGTGACTCAAGATTCTCATTAGCACCAAGCAGCGGAAGATTTTCTTCTGTGATTGAGTTGTGATATCCCACAAGACTTTTAAAGTTTTGCATAAAGTCTTCAGCTGTTGCAACTACAATTCCATTATCTGTATAACTGGAAACCATCTTGATAGTATTCTCTAAATTAAAAAAAGGAAGTATACATAAACTGATACCTACTGTCAACAAAATCCTTTCCACCATATATTCAGAATTATAATTTAACACCCATTCCAGCCCCTTGAAATTATTTCACTCATACTCCCATATCAGCAAGAGCAAGCTCCTACCTGTTAGAAAGACTATGTGTCGCTGCTGTATATTCTGAGCCTGAAGCCTGATAAGGCAGTCCATTTCTGGGGCATTTCGAGTTTGTGAATCACAATTGTGGTATGATAAAATCTCAACCAGATGTTTCTTCTGATACACATTTAGAAGAGACAGCAGACTCAGAGCTTTAGTATTCAATCTGTGAGATTAAGCTGAGTTCAGTATCTGGATATTGGCATTTTAAAATTCACTTTGGAAATTTCAGCTTCAGTTAATTAAAAGCATTTCCTGGCTGAGGAAACTAATAGCCACAGCAAGCTGCTGAGCTTACTGTTTAATACACTGGTTAAGAAAAGGAAAACAGGAACTGCATCTGACAAGCATGTTTTGGGAGGAGGAGCATCTTCTAATTCATTTAGGCTAAAACCTGAACCAGTCATTCTATCTATTAAATTATTCTTAGCTTTAATCTTAAACTTTAAAATTAAAAACAAAAAAGTTGGGCATTTGGGGCACAGTGGTATAGATCTGTAATTGCAGCACTTCACCCCGATAGCCTAGACTACACTGTCTCATGGACAAACAGTGTAATTCTTCCTAACATGTGGCCTTTAAACTTAAGACGTGCCCTTTGCTTATTTCATAGGCTGTGAAAATGACTAAGCCTAAAAAAGTTCAGTGTGTGTTACAACTTTTTAAATTCCAGCATTCAAGAAGCTAACATTTTGAGTTTGAAGCCATTCTGAATTATATAGTGAGACAGTCTCAAAATGATAAAAGTATTTTAACTACTGTACATAGTCAAACACTGGAATTCTTCAACCCTGAATTGAAGACTCATAGAATGTTAACTGGTGTTTTGGCAATCAAAAGACCCGTGACAGCCAGCTGGGCGTTGGTGGCGCACGCCTTTAATCCCAGCACTCTGGAGGCAGAGGCAGGCCGGTCTCTGTGAGTTTGAAGCTAGCCTGATCTACAGCTTGAGGCCCAGGACAACCTCCAAAACAATACAGAGAAACACTGTCTCAACAACAACAACAAAAAAAAAGACCTGTGACCTAGACTGGTTTTGGTGGTGTATGCTTATAATCCCAGCACTTTAGAGGTAGAAGCAGGACAGCCCCTGAGTTTAAGACCAGCCTGGTCTACAAAGTGAATAGCAGGCTAGCTGGAGTTAACTTACAAAAAGTAATTGGGAACTGGAAAAAGAAAAAAAAAAAGGGGGGGGGGGTGGCTCAGCAAGAGCACGTATTCTGCAAACACGAGGATCTGATGATCTGATTCCCATCCCCAGAACCCACAGCTGGATGCGTCTACAATCCTAGCACAGCAAACAAAAACTGGCAGTTCTTGAGAGCTTCCAAGCAAAATATAGTTGAAAGACCCTGTCTTAAGTTAGTTAAGATGGAGAGAAAGAGGAACACGATGGCATCCTTGCGCTGGCCTCTGCATGCACAGGTGAGTGTACTCCACAAGTACATGGCTCCACACACAAAATTCTATGGCTTACATTTAGGAAACTAGCTAACAAAAATCCTATAATGTGTAATTAATCACATTATGAAGACATTGTACTAACAATATACAGCATCTCCAACATACTATACTAACTGTTCATGGAGCTTTTTAAGTAACTGGCACTCAGAGGAAATAATTTGCAGACATGCTAGAAAACACAAACATACATATTGCAAACTAGCATTCTAATGGAACTTTTCAGACTGAGATCAATCCTTGACTATAACTAGTTACCTAAAGTACATACTTGGCACAGGGTCTGATTTAGACCGCAAATACAGATCAGTTTTTACAATAGTAAAATGTGTCATCTATATCACAACCCTTCTTCCTAAGGCTTGGAGAACTATGTAAAACAAGGAACAGAAATATCCTAAGAGCCAGATGTTGTAGAGTGCTGCTTAAAAATGTACAACAGCTGGGGTTGCCTACCCAAGATTGCACAAAAATCAATTCCACCATGTGTAGGGAAGATACTTACGAGGTCTCACCCCTAGCTGAGGAACAACTGGCAGCTGATAGGAATCTGGTAAGTGGGCCTGATAGGATGCTTACGCTCTACTGGGCAGCCTAATAAAATAGTAGTATGTGGGCAACAGTAATTGGACTCAGTGAGTTATAAAGGAAAAAAAGAGGACATGGAAGATGTGGTAAGCGGAGGTCTGAGAACAGTTGGTTAAGGAGTAGATATGACCAAATTACATTGTATATGTATATAGTATTATCAAAGGCTAAATTAATATATTTTTAAAAGGCTTGAAATGTAGCTCACAACATATGCTTCAAGTCTAGAATCACAAAAAGTAAGAAAATTTCCTGATCCTCGTGATTATGCAGATCTATGAGCAGATTAAATCAATTCTAACGATAGGAACTTCACCAAATTGTCCATGTCAACAAGAATACCATTTCTTCCTAAGAGAATGGAGTAATTAATTATTTATACCCCTTTATTGTCTGTTGACATACATGAAAACTTCATAATCCACAAACCCAGAAGAACGAAAAATTTTGTGAGCACAATGTCAAAAATCAACAATTGTTCAATATTTTCTGTATCATACCTGCCCAATTCCTTCAGTTTCTTCTGAAATTTACAGTGGATTTTCCACTGCCATTTCCCTTCTGGAGTACTTAGTTCTTCAAGGAATGTCAAAAAAATTTTAAGGCTCTCTGTTAGGAACAATGAAATCCAGATTTTAAAGTCAGTATTAGTCTATGCCATGCCTAAGTTTTGGAAGAATTGCTTGTTCACATTTATATAGATTATTTTCTTATGCAGCATGTATTCATCATCTTGCTCTGAGGGAAAAGGGAACTCCTTATAAGCTAGAACTTTAATCACTTGCAAACAAAACCAATACCCAATAATAATACCACCACCAGAGAAATCCAAATGCCACAGCAGGTAGTGTAGACCAGATTTGCACAAAAAGTATATATAAAGACAGAATGGAGAAAACTGAGGTGGCAAAAGCTCAGGAATAACCTAGTTAGCTACAAATGACACAAGATAATACATTTTTAACCACTTAGTTTTAATATTCCCTGAAAACCCAGGACAACCATAAGCCAGAAATAACATGCTAAAAATAATACTCATTCTTACCAATTGTGACAACCTCTGGATTTAGAATTGATTCATCAGACACAATAAAGCCACCAGACACAAACAACTCATTGTATGTATGATTTTTAACATCATCCAAGCTATCAACACCAGCAAAACTAACACATGGGAGCTTCTTTAAAGTCACCAAGCCAGGTACCTGTTAAACCAGAAACAGATGAATAAATATAACCTAAGAATAAAGTTTTAAAAATATACTATTGCTCATCATTGCGCCTCTGGAAAGTCACAAAACTATTATTTGAAGTATTATTTCCCAATAATATAAACCAATATGTATGAACAGAACACGAAGGGAAGGAGTTTACATTAGGCTGAAAACACAAAATGAATTAAACACAAAATGAATTAAAATGCTAATGTATCCTTAAACTCATAACCAGCCAGAATTGGAAACTAGGAGCCAGGTGTAGTGATACCTATGTCATCCAAATGAGGTCAGCCTGAGCTACACAGGATGCTGTCTTTAAGCAGGGGTGGGAGGATGGGAGGGGAGCCCATGGTGCTAGAATAGTAATGAAAGGCTGATCTGAGGCAGGCTCCTAAGATCAGGACAACATACCTCCAAATCCAAGGTAAATGGGAACTCATGGCAAAAAAAGTTTTGTCTAGACATCCATATACAGACAGATAACAGTGTGCAGACTTAGCAGAACATACCTCACCTCTAAAGAATCCAGCACATGTATTAAGTAACCTGAATGACAGGGAAGACTCATAACATACACCTTCACATATACAATTCTCACAAGCTGGCTCCTGGACAGGTACTTAAGTTTTATCTTCATTTTTAAAAAGTTTTGTTCTCAAAATAAGATTTAACAATGGGGTAGTTTTAGAAAACAAATAGGTGAACTGGACTTAATAGTCTACCTTGTGAATGAAATCTGCAATGTCTTCATTTTGAATAATAATCAATAGTTTATCTAAGGTCGATCTTCTTTCCAAAAACTGATCTGGATGACATTCTGTATTGCCTAATTTGATAAGATATTCCTGTCAAAGAAAAACAACTAAGTCAACATTAACAAACTTCAGCAAACATCAATTTCCAATCCAAACTGAAAAGTGAAATATAAGCTAATAAGCTTTATCTAGACACTATGAACTTTCACTTTAGAAGACTGAGAGCGCACCATATTCCAGCAATGGGTTAGTCCAGATTTTTGACACTTACCTCAATTATGGTAAACCCAGGACCTGTTATTAGCTACTCCCCCTGTTTCCCCTTCCCTTTCCTTAGGGTGGCTCTTAGTGATCGTTGATAGTATCACCAGAAATATTTCTCTTCAGAACAAAGGCATCACCATTGCATATTACTTAATCCAAAACTCAGAAAGAATTCTGAGTTTTTGGTATGAACAATGGTGACGCAGACTGTGTAAGGCCAGCTCCCAGATCCGCTCCAGGGTAATAAAAGAAAAAGCCTCAGAGTA